CTGTTGTTTACTTGAATTTTGAAAATATTGTTCATACTTGTCAATATTAACTTAGCTTGTGTTTTGGATAACATACTGAATGGGTATTTGCCCAGCTGTATTTTAGTTGATTAATTATATTTTAACTTTGGTCATCATGCAAGGAAGTTGTAATGAAGCTAACAGCAAGGCTTACTATGTTTGTGAACAAGAAAAAAATGTTACCTAAAATATATACTGTCATATATAGTGTGTTGGTTTCATCCCTAATTATCATGAGCAAAGGACATAGTCACTTAGAGAAGCTTTATAATTTCTATTACCATTACTTCCGTGAATATATCACCTGGATGTTCCTCGCTGTCACCTGTATATTGAATGAATTCTGAAGGAAGTCCTAGTCAGAGAGAAAGCAAAGGTCAGATTTGGTCTTGTCTCCCTTTTCAAAGAGCGGAATTTGGTTCTCATGTTTAACTAGTTAATCTAGTATTTAATTAATGAAGATAGACGTATTGAGAATCAATAGATTTAATAAATTATTAAACTCAGCAAATTATATAAATTGCTTTCTAAACACAGTTTTTATGTGTTTACCTTACAGTAATGAAGCAGTTTCTGTTGGTTAGTGCTTTTGAATAACGATCGGAATATTTTACGTGTGTTTTGGTTGAAAGATTATTTGAGTCAGTGCAGAGCAGGTGGAGCCCTCTGAGTGTAAAGAGTGATTTTCAGTATGGCAGGACAGGAAGTGTCTGTTTAAATATTTATATGATAGCTAATCAAAGGGCCAGAACCATTGTTTTGCTCTTGTGGAACATAGTGGTTAAAAGAAAAAATAGTTCACCTTCAATATTCCACAGATAAATGTGCTTCCTAGGAGGCTAGGGGAGGGGGGAAACACCAAAAACAAACACCACACCCCACACCCCCCCCCCATATGAGACACACGTGAGAGACAGTCTAATGCACGGAAATGAAAAGTACTGGGGTATGCACTGAATATTCCTGTCTGAGGGTGGGATGTGTTTGCTAATTAAACAGTGAAGCTAATGTGATGCATCTGTAATTCGGATGGTGTCAGGAACTAAGGAATTATGGAAGTGGTTGAGGCAAATGCTTCTTAAAGAATGAAACTTGTAAACTAGGTTGGTGCTGCTAAGGACAGATTTGCTGGGGTTGCAGAACTGTAATGTCTCTCTCTGAGGGTAGGGTGGTTTTTTATACTTCTATTTCTCTTCTCTTGAGAACACTCTGATTTACTTCTGTGATAAACCTGTAACAACAGGGGGATCACATTGCTGAAATGAGTTTAGCTGGAAGGGATACATAATGTCAGCTGAAAAATAGCACTTGGTAAATATGTTTTGGCCATGGTTCAGCAAAAAAGCAGATCCTGTCAGCGAAGTAACATTCTGTTTTCTTGAAAGTGTCTTTTAGTTGAGCACAATCGTACACTCTGCCTTTTTGGAAAAAAAAAAAAAAAAAAGGAAAATAAAATACTGTTTTGTCTTTGGTGCTAGACATGTGGTCCTGACAAGGCTAGTATGGATCACTTCAGTTTTCAATACGTTTATGCTCTGATGTACCCTTGACATGGGAAAGTGTTACCAGGGTGGGGAAGTGAGTCATGTCAGAGCCTACATCTAATGCTGCCCTATGGGTCCTGGGTGAGGAAATACCTTTGCAGAGTGGGTATTATTGTGGGATGCTCAGCTGGCATCTATTCTGTTTATGTCATCTGCCCAGCAATATTAAGGCCCTTCTGAATTGTCAGATCAGAGCAAGGGAAAATGAAATAGGTACAAATTGGGAAGCCTGAGAAAGTATGTCTGCCTTATCCATATTCCTTATCTATATTCTCAGTAGATGGGTGCTTGGGTCTGTGCTACCTTTACTGGACCATTTCCGAAGAAGGAAGAGTCTTTATACGCAACACACAGCCACTGTCATATGGTGCAGACGTTTCTGGTATTAGAACCTGCACTGAAGTTCTAAAGCCGCGAATAAATTATGGAAATAAGTGTTTCTGTCTGGACTTCAGGTAGTAGTAAATGTGGGAAAGTCACTTACATATTTTAGAAACGTAAAAATTACACCCCAAAGTAAACTTTACATCAGAAACAATCTGGCCTTGTTTTTTCTCAGCCAGTAAATTGGGAAAGCATTGTTGTGTAAATACATTGTAAGCTAGGAGATTTTTGTATGAACCGTGCTGCGTTTATGATAGAATTCAGAATGGCAGCCTTGCCAGAGGAGATGCCAGACAATCCTCCTGTTCTTTCTTCCTTGCTCTTGCTGAAGCACCAAACCATATGGCAAATTAAGCCTGATTTTTATTAAACTTTTCATTGTACTGAGCTTGGTGTGATCTGGGAAGTGCACTTTTTTTGAACTATGCAGCCATTATATAAGCATCTTAATTAGGAGATGTTAATGTTCTTCCTTGCATTCCTGGGAGTATGTAGCTCCCTCTTGTGGCTAATTAAACATTTTAAAGAATCGTACTTCTGAAAATTACTTTTGTGCATTTGTCATTGCTCTTGAACAAATGATGCAGTTGTGCATGGAGCATCTCTAACCTGGGCTTCTTATTACTATGTCAAGCCTAAGTTGCTGTGCAATGACGAGATGCATAGATGGGGTTGGAGAGAAGGGTCTGCACATAGTCACACCGTGAATGTGACTGCTTCCTGAAGCTTTAAAAAGCTGAATGGACACATCCAGTCATTTAGAAAAAAATCTCTGTTTGGTAACTCTGTTGGTCCTATACATTTTATGCTGAAGAATGGTTTACAGCTAAAGTGGGGATGAGATACGGGATGTGTTTTAGCTCCAAGGAGTACAAATCTTTCAGGTACCCCATTGGTATGTCTTGCCATCAAACTCAAGGTTAAGAACTTTGCTGGATTTGGAGTTGCAATGAAATTTTCCCTCCAGTCAGCTTTGCAGGGACCCTTACTACTATTATTATTGTTGCACTTCTGTCTTTCTATCTAGTGTGGAGAAAGATCTGTATATGACTATCTGGATTTTTTCTGATAAATTCACTCGCACAGCTCATGATTTGTTTTCCTTGCTTTCTGTGGCTTGTTACAGCTTGAGCATTGTGCCTATACTACATCTTAAATTTGTCGTGTTTAGATAATCTTTGATGGCTATGGTGGAAACGGCTGTTGTACAGACACCTGTGAATTAGATTTTTGTGCTGGCCTGTGGCTGACTTCAGGCCTTTCAAACCACTGTTCTTATATTGGATGGGAAGGTGCACTTGTCTTGCAATAAGTCTCAGAAATCAGGGCAGAAGATGATCAATTCATCTTCTCCCTAGAAAAGTGAACAATACTCATGACATTGCAAAATCGTAAGCATAGCTTTATGTTAACAAAAACACAGAATTTTAGGCTTGATGTAAAAAATACCAGAGATTGGTCAAAAAATGAGTTGAAAAGCAGAGAACTTTTCAGTAGGAACCATTAAGTTTCAGTTTCATCACAAAACCTGAAGTTACAAAGTTACTTTGCCCTTCTATCACCTGCAGTGTTGTCTGCCTCTGTGTTTTGGTATGACATACTCAAAAATACATGAGATGAAAACTTTATCCATTAGTGTTTCTGACATGGAAGGAGGAAGAAAAAAAAAAAAGGTGAAACAGGTTTTTACTTTGAAATTTCTCCCTTTCCCAAAGGGTTTGAGAATTGAAACTTTATCTCTGAAAATGCTGATTTCCTGTTTCATAACTTGTGGCAATTTTTTCTCAATTAAAATAAAGAGTAATGATAATGGAGTTTAGTCAAAAACTCACTGCCCAGTAATCTGCAAACCAGTGTTGCAGAACCCACAGCAACAGGGCAACAAACATGCATTTCCTCGGGGACGTTATTAAACACCCTGCATATTTATTATCTCAAAATGGGAGCAGGTCCAGATTTCCAAGGCCGCTTTTTCTCTTCCTCTTCCTGAGGTATAATTCAGACCAGCATATAAATATTTGACTTAAAGTTTCTGCGGAAATATTAACCATATAAAATTGCTAGAAACAAAAGAACATGAAACAGCAGAGGGAAGGAATTGCTTGGCAAGACTGTCGGCCGTAAAGGGCAAGATTAATTTATAATCTTTCTAGTTTCTAGTATACAAATACAAATTTGCAAACCATGTAGCTTATAATAAACATGATGTAGCTCTGCAAGTTTATGTCACTAATGTGAGACAGCCTTGAAATTGGATTTTTAGGGATTTCTTTCATATGGTGAAATAAGGTAGTGGTAGTAACAAGGAGTTTCCATACAAAGATGTGTGTGTATATCTAAATATACATACGAATTTGGAAAGTGGAGGAATTCCAGCTGTGTGACCAAGCAGAGTTCTGGCCAGCATACCCAGATATTTTAATGAGAAGTTTTTTTCCTTGGTTTAAAATCATGGGAAAGGAGGAGTGTAAAAGGGAATGGGGGGAAAATTACTGTCCTGAAAGTAGTTTATTTTGTAATGACTTTACAATGGCTAATAAAAGGGACTGACTAATCAGAAAATGATGTGTGATGGCTATCTCATATTGTAAAGGGTTGTTGTGAAATAAGTATGCTTTATGTCACTTATTGGAATATGTCTTTTTTCCTTTTTTTTTTTTTGTAAGCCTGTAGCTGTTTTATCAGTTTAACTGAAAAAAGAAATAGAATTAAATAAAATGTCAAATTCTGACATAGAGCGAATAGAGTAGCAATGGAATAATAGAAACTTTAAGTAGTGAAATAGAAGACAGTATAGATAAGATAGGAACTGGCAAAGGACATGAACAGGTTTTCTGGGGTTTAGCACAGGAATTGCACAGTGTTTTCTGAATGATTGAAACCATATTTTATAGTTATACATTTTATATTACCATGAAACATATTTTATAGATTATCAGTAGGGAATATACCTCGACATTAGGTAGAAGATCAAAATGACTTTAGTGGTTTTAGAATGATTTTAAAAGTTTTTATGATATGGCCTGTAACTTGTTGTTTTCTGCCATGCAGGTAATCAGCAGTGAAGGGACAGAGGGAGCAAAGTTTCGACTCTCTGGTAGGGGAGTAGATCAAGACCCAAAAGGAATTTTTAGAATCAATGAGATCAGTGGGGATGTCTCTGTGACCCGAGCCCTTGATAGAGAAGCAATTGCCAATTATGAGGTGAGTACTTACAGCAGCAGGATCTCTGCCTCTATGTTGATAATATGTATTTTTTTTAAGTGTATTTGCGTTTGAAAAGGCTGCAGTTGTTGAAGACTAAATTGCGGCTACTGTCCTATAAAATTTCCAGAAGCGTTTGTCCTTTGCAAACGGTAGATGTGTTTATTTTTACATGCAAAACTCTGCTCTGCTTTCTGCATGTAATTTCTGTCATTTATCTTTAGAAGAAATACTGTCTGAACATCATGTATGCATTTGATTTGTGAATACAAAATTATGTTTGGACAAAAGGAGATCTTTCGGGGAAGTTGCCACTAAGGTACTAAATGGTTATACTTTTTCTTTCTTATTGTCAAGCTGTCAATGGAACATACTATTCAACTCCATTTTTACTAATGGATATTTTCTAATGGAGATGAAGATGATTCTCTTAAGATGAAAATGTTAGCAGATACATCTCAGTCAGATGTATATCTCCTACAAAAATTTTACTAAAGCTTCCTTTTCTTGTCCATAAATGCTATGTTTCTTCCCGTCGAAATTCCAACACATTATTTCTGATATCTGCAAAATAACTGCACCACAATGTCCTGAAATATATGGTGTAAGTAGAGGATCTGTCAGTTCATGTTTTGGATCTAGCTCTTGAAATGTGCAGTCAGATAAATTGTATCTGGCCACTTTGATGAGCAGCAGAATTCAAAATGCTAAATGGTTAGTGGCACCTTTGCACGTTCCCACTTCTGCGATGGCACGGGGGACTGACCTCCATATCCTCAAGCAGCAGGGAGCACGCGGCATTGCAGCCCAGGTGGGGCACAGGCTCTGGTGACAGTTCTGACTGCCAGCGCTGACGTCTTTGTTGTCTTCTGCTGTGTAGTAATCAATACTTGTACTTCCAGTGCTGTTTTTCTCCTCCTCTGGAAGAGTTTGCCAGTTAGATGGCTAGTCATACTTGCTCAAACAGCACTGCTAAAATTTACCATATGTTAGTTTTCAACACTTAAACATCTATTTCTCATCTGAGTCTACACCGAAATGTATGTTAACCACTCGCATAGGATTTATGGTAGTTACTGATGTCCTTCTTAAAGGGAAAACATTGCTGTTTCTCTTTTTAACACTGTTCCTTGTCTTCATTTACCAGCTGTTTCTTATTTTATCAGTGGCTTTCCACCTTAATGTGTTCAGTATAAACCTCGAGTATTTTTTTACTGGAAGATCATAGTAGTCTTTTCAACCTAACGCATCAAACCACAAATGGCCCTCCTATCTGATCTGGCAAAGCACGCACTTAAATTAAGACACAAACATTTCCCTAGAGGAGCCTTTTTGAAGCAATGCAAGTTATATACAAATAGTGCAGTGTAGTAGTTTATCCAGAGCAATATGAATATATATCCTAATAGGCTGTAGTGCTTTCTAACCTGTTATATAGCACTCTGCTCAGCATGCTCACTGGCATCCTGTTGTGCAAAATGTAGTTGAAAAGTTCTGTAGGAGAACCCTCAGCTTGATTAGTCTGTCTTTGAATCCAGCCCATTTTTTTCCAATAAAGATGTATCATGGTGTCAGGAAGGCAGCAGGATTTTCTCCCTGATTTCCTCGATACACTGAAAAATGAATTACCTGAGAGATCCTTATATTTCTCTCAAAAGTGTTTTGGTTTGAGGTCCCTCCTGCCCAGTATTGATGTTGTGAAAGAAAGTTCAAAGCAAAGGACGAACAAGGAAAGAGTAAATCGCCACGAAAAAATACAAGTTCTTTGTGAGCCATCATACTAGCAAGTATAAAATCATTGGTGAGGCAAGGATGAAAAGATGAAAACTATTTGAATCCTTCCTGCTACACAGAGGGCTGCTGTGTATGACCACTGATTTATTTCCTATGCTTAATACATATATATACTCAAGGGATGAGAATTTAAAAAAATGTCAATAGGGCACAAAATAGAACTTTGGTGATCACAGTATTTCATAGACCTTTGCAGATTTTACCATCTGCGTAGCTAAGATTATTTAATCTATTATAAAAATTTGTTATTGTTTCTTTCATTGAATATTTGAAATTCTGGTTTTTGCACCCCTCTTTCTCCTGGAGGAATGCTGAAAAACCTGTAGGGGTTTTTCTGTATTTTCATTACAAGAGAAACACAATTAAATTGGAGGAACACTGAATTCTACTTAGACAATGATTGATCGTCTCAGTTAATCCTCTCTATCTACTGTTTTACTAAATATAAAATATTTAAAAACAAAGATTAAAAATATTTTAAAATAGATTGAAAAAATCTGACTGAGGGTCGGGGCCTGCCAGTCCATTTGATGCAGCCCGTTCGCGTGGCAGTTGTCTTTTCGAATGAATATAGATTTTGTTAGCAAAACCAACTCAAGTTGGCAAGAGGAATGTAAGGCAGCGACATTAATGACAATCCCCTGAAACAGAATTATTTATCTGTTTGACTTACCACTTTGTTTTTTATGAAATCAGTTTAAATGTTCAAAATTCGTCAAGTATGTGAAATTCCACCAAAATGTTAATGTCGAGGTGATGAATTGCCATGGTAGCTCTGACCTCATCACCTGCATGTTTGAAAATGTGATGATTTCTATTGAGAAAATGGAAATGTGCTGGAGGAGGCTGGGTGAGACAGTGAAAATCCAAAAGCCACTACACTGAAATTAGCCATTTGTAATTATTTTTGTTTTTCTTAAGCGTGTGGAACTATGCTAAAGAAATCATGTTTGCTAATTGATAAAGGTAGACGCCTCTGGTATGTTTGTACCAGTAACTTTATGGGGTGCGTCCTTAAAGGTCAGAGAATGTCAGCTTCAGTTTTAAGGGAAAGTTGTTTATGAGGAGTAAGAGGATGTAAGGATATTATTATGCCCAGCAAAGACAGTTTTAGAAAAGTGTGTAATAATTCATTTTTTCTTCTAAAGCGGTTTGATAAAGAGCATCCTGATAGAAATTCTCTGGGTCAGAGGAAACCAGTAGATTTACATGGTGTGGTTTTATTTTGGGGCTTGGCAGAACCTGTTGATGAAACTACTAAACGATGCTCTGAAGGAAGGGTCTTAAGAAGAATATGGGCATATTAATTTGTTTCTGGATTAGTGAGATAAGCAGGTAGCCTAGAGCCCCTATTTAGTGGGAGCAAAAGGTGTTCAGTTGTACGAATATGCTCTCAAACATAATTTCTTTGGTTTTCTCTCAAGATTTGAATAAATAAGACTAGTTAGAAATTTCAGACAATGCAAAAACATTTATTTATTTATTTAGTATTGAAAAGTGCAGATGTATAAAAACGGGTGAAGGAACTTAAGGGAGACTTCAGATAGGTTTTTCTAGTCCAAATCAGAGAGGTACACACCATCCAAATATTGCCGATAATTACGCAATTCTGAGTTCACTTCAGATCCATAGTCTTTCCTCATTCCAGCAGAGCAGAAATATTAGTGACTTATCAGTTGCATCTTTTAGCAAAAAAATCAAGTGCTTTGAAAAAGAGCTGCAACAACAGAACTAAAGGATTCCAATGAAGTTGGAAGTCTAGTTGTGCTAAGTGTTTGATAAAAGACTAGTGAAACGGGAAAAAAAGGTTCATATAGAGGACCAGTGAAGACTGGCTAAAAACAGTGGCTAGGGGGTAATCTGTTAATTAAAAGCATTGATTTCATTTTCAAAGCCTCACATTTACACAGATAATGTATTCATAGGCAGAATGCTTTCATGCAGGTAAAAGCAGGAAGAGTTGTCTATATTGATTACCATGACCAAGATGACAAAAGTTGCGAAGTTAAAGAGCAGTGTTTTGTTCTTTACCCAAAATTAGATAGGCCTATAAGAAATGGGAAAGTTATTCCATTAATGGTTTACAGTTAATGCATGAGATTCTGGTTAGGCATTCCTTGGGTGCAGGACAAATCCTGAAGTTGTATAAACTTGTTTCCCGACACTTATCACTGCGTGTAATGCCTGCAACAGTGAAATCCAGTTCTGTAACCTCTTAAGCATCAGTAGCAAAGTGCCAACCAGTCAATGGGGGGCTTTTAATTGGGTCTGAAGATTTTAAAGGATATTGCCATCGTTGATGGGCTTTTTCGTAACTGCTTCCCATGTATAAATAGGTGTGGAAGAGAAATAATCAGAAAGCGATCCTGTGCAAGCATGAAATGAAGAAGCTTGATAAAACTATTCAGCGACAGTGTGCAAATTAGAGCTGTGGCCAAATTTACCTAGGCAATTTGAACTGTTAATGAAGAGTTAGTTTTAATTATTTTTGAAGTTAAGAGCTTTATTTGCTTTAGAAAATACTTAACAAGCAGAGGTGTGAAATCAGCTTTCAGCTTTTTTAATAACGGCAGATCACACTTCCGTTAAAGGATGCCTTGCAACTGGTAGTGACAGATTGAGATATTTAGAAAATTTATGTTAACAGGACTGAAAAGCAAATTAGGAGTATTCGCTTTATGTAGTATTGTTTCTATATGTTGGATAACAAGTAGAAGAAGAAAAGGCTAAAGAATTCAGACGAATCAATAGCAAACAAATCTCTAGTGTGAACTGCTTCACTTCAGGTTACAGGAGGCTGTTGTTTCTGTGACTGAGCCAAATCTTTAGGGTGATGCTGCAGTCCTAATGGACTCTATTTCTGTGTTTAATATGGAACAAATAATGGAAATGCGTCACAATCATGGGGAAAACTAGCTTGGTCAGGTGCCAACGAGTATTTTGTGAGGAAGGTTTTTTAAGTACTCAAATGCATTTTTGCAGATACCGAAAGTATTAAAGTAGCAAAAAAACTAGAAGGGAAGAGCTGTAATTTATCCTGTACAGAAGAATGAATTTATCTTCTGTGTAAGTCCATTTTAGTGCAGCCACATCCCTTTCAGAATGATTTATCATACCCTGATACTGAATCTCTCCAGTATGCAATGTGGAGATATGTAGGCAGCACACAGCAGCATGCCTGTTTTTGAGAATGAAAACCACAAATT